ATTCTTAAGTGTCAGTCTTAGAGCTGATTTGTGACACCAGCTGTGCCACAAAGCTGATCCTGGATGACGTCGTTAGAAAAACCCAACATGAACCAATCACTGCCTCAGATTTCATGTTCAAGAAAGTTGTTGGAGAAATGTCAAGATAAGACTGTGAAAAAGCTAAGCTAAGTTCACGTTCAACACACTAATGTTGTCACCTTGTACTGATTGTCTGTAAATTACATCAAATGTCCTCATTTGTATCATAAAAACAGACAAAAATCTCACTTTTTTAAATCAAAAACTGAGCAGCTTTAAAGTTATATGTCTCAGAGCCTGAGGTCATGTTGAGCTGCTCCCTTCTCCTCTTTACCACTGTCTGCAGACAACACCAGCTACACACAGACACACAACCTGCTCTGTCATTAACAGCTTGGTCCGAGAGGAGCACCCAGGAGGACAGCTGTAATCTCTGTCTTCAGTTCATCTCAGACCTCTAGTGGAAACTCTGAACCACTGAAGAGTCCTCTGGATCAGTCTGAACTTTTCCTGAGAGTAAGAGTGATTCTTAGACTGAACAATTTTAATAACTGGCACTTACACTTAAGTCTGAGAGTAGGAGCAAATCTAAGACATTTTCAGCACTTAAGTCTAAAAATSCACTCTAAGAAGTTTTATAAATATGGACCCAGGTCTTTCCTGGAGTCTCCTCCTGGTCAGACCTGCCCTGAAAACCTGTGCAGAACTCGTCCCGACCACATGAAGCCCCTCTGCATGTGGCCGAGCAGCAGCTCTGGAGCTCCCYTGCAAACAAAACCACCTGGATCCAGACTCCCTGTGCTCCTTGTTCTGATAAGTGCTGTGACCTTCATCATGTTAACGTCTAAAGTTGTAGCCACCTGATTGGCTGGTTTGTGAATGATCGGCTACAAACTGAGACTCGTTGGGTTTTTATTTGAAGTCRGGACTGTTCAGATGGTGCCTGATAAAGTTGTCATGATTGGTTTGAATCTSCACTGTTTAGTTTATCACATGATCCAAACAGTAAAATATTAATATTATTGTTTCATGTGGATGTAAAATGTTTGCAGCAGCCAGCTCTCACAGATAAACATCACCTGCATGTGTTCAGACTGACAGAAACTTGTGGTTTTTCAAATATCACCACTGCTGAAGTTTATGCTTTTTCTTTGCAGTAGTGAAATCCTGAATGTACTGTCTGTGATCCTGTGTCGGTTCTGTCCAAATGGACTTCCTGTTGACTTTGCACTCTGTATCCTGAGCCTGTCGGAGCTGTGCTGACTCAGCAGAGGTCAGAGAGAAACACTCGCACAAAATGCTACATGTGCAGACTGACACATTATTCACTTTTTGCTTTTCCTGACCGTCCCTCAAACTCCTGAATAAAAAAGTGATCATTACATCATGTCTGACGTCGTACTCTGAGTTTTCACTTCAAAGAATAACTTTTTTTAAACACAAAGACAGGACTCAAGAGCAACAACAGATTTATTTGTGCTAATTTATTAATTTTTTTATGGAACACCTGTAGTTACGACACAAGAAACCTGTTGGGTTTAGAATTTTTCTCATTTTTAGGAGAAATCTAAAACTGTTTTTATTCAAAAAAAATTTCAGCAGAAGTGCTTTTCATTAACACATTCAGCRTGTACTGACTGGACCGAGGAAACGGTTCAGAACTTTTGAACAAGGGCGTTCTGTGGAGTAGTTAGCAGTCAGTATCTTACATGCAGTCAGGGGTGTCACTACATTTTAAGGACAAGGGGGGCTTCGCCCCCAGGAGGTACACAGAATTTATATATATATATATATATATATATATATGGATTGAATAACGACGCACCAAAGAGGATCTCTACCTTACACTATAAATTAAAGGGAAACTGACAGATTTATGATCATATATTTTAGTTAATGATGAAATATTAAATGGTTAATTATTCTGACCACATCATATTGAATTTTTGTAAAAAAAATTAAAACTATTTTTTTAGGGGGGCTCCAGCCCCCCTAAAATAGGCCTAGTGACACCACKGCATGCAGTAGAAATGGCTTTATTATTTTGGTTTCTTGGGCAGAAGTTCTGTCAGGGAGTTGAACTAAGCATCAAACTAAAAAAATAAAATCTTTAGCAGTATTAGCAAAAGCTATGTTTAATGAAGTTTTACAACAATTTACTACATTTTATTTTCTCATACTGACAAATGATAACAGCAGAACAGCACTTTAAACGGTTTGATTCACCCTTTTAATGTGAGCTGAACTGACTGTTTTTGAATTCAGTAAAAACTGAAAACTAAATAACAGCAGGACCCTGAAAAAATACCGKTTTTTTTCTGCCATCATAAAACCTGAAAACAAACAAGTTGTGCTTCCGAAAAGAAAAATTTTTTTTGCAGTTCTGCTCAGAAAGCAGCTGCCTGCTTGTTGAACTGTGACGATTCTGAAGCTCTGAATAAGAACAAAACAAACACGTTAAAAACCAAATTCTGCTTCCAGTTTTGTTGTAGATCCAGTACCTGCTGCCTCTGAGGATGAATGACTGGAGGAAAAACTCCTGCTTTAAAGGTTTGCTTCTGGTTTTAACAGAGAGATTCTGTGTGAAAGTTCTGAACATTTATTTTGATTGTAGACAAGGTTTTGAACAGCTTCAATTTCATAAAATAGTCTTAGTGACAAGCTAATGGCTAGTCAGACCAATGTGGACTTTGCTAACTGTAGAACTTTATGAAAATAATAAGGGATGCATATCACTGCCACCTCTCAAGTTAAAACACATTGTTACTCATGCAAGAACATGTTCGTATTCTTATCCTAAATTTCTCTTACTTTTGTTCGTACGAAGGGTTTGTACCAACATGTCACATCAGATTCAACAAACTCTTCTATCTTCAGGAAAACTGTGTAAATGAGCAGCATAAACATGATGAAGTGTATCAGCTGCTCATGCACGGGGAGAGGAGATTAACATAATTACCACCCTAAAAACACCGTATAAGGTAATGTTTCCTGCCTCAGATACAAGGAAGTGTTCATTCATAAAAATGACAGTAAAAGTAAAAAAGAAGAACTTGATGAGTTCACAGATTGAAGTTCTGCTCTCAGAGATCCAGAAAAGAAAATCTGTCATTTTTAGCAGCATCAGCTGTGGAATTAAAGGAGCTGCTGAAGCTGAGGAATGAAATAACGTCTGCTGTTAATGTTGTGTCTCCTGTGGGTCACAGAAAGAAAAATCTAAATCATATTTATCTCTCTGTAGTCCTGCTCCAGTTTCCCTTTGGTCAAATATTTTTAATTCAAGTGTAAACACCTGTGTTACATAGTTTTCATTTATTCAGAAGAAGAGCAGTCGTGCACCACTGCACTACTAGTCTACATTATACATTTAAAATTATAACTCTAATTCAAGCAGAATAACATATTGTCAACATAATTATGGAGTGTGATTTATTTTAACTCTAAATA